CCGCCCCGCCCCTCCTCACCTCCTCCTCCTCCTCGGGGGGCTCCCCCCGGCCCTGCAGGAGCCGCTCGAGGCCCGGGCGGCGCCGGGGGCAGCCCCGCCCCCAGCCCAGCCCCGCCCCTCCTCACCTCCTCCTCCTCCTCGGGGGGCTCCCCCCGGCCCTGCAGGAGCCGCTCGAGGCCCGGGCGGCGCCGGGGGCCCAGCACGAAGCTCCGGACCTGCGCCGCCGTCTTGTTCCCCAGCACGGCCGCCACCGCCGGGAAATCGCGGCCGTAGCGCCGCAGGGCTGGGGACGGACACGGTGAGGGGGGACACGCCGCTAACGAGGCTCGTTAATTAGGCTAACGAGGGGGGCACTCACCCTGCACCACCAGCAGCTGCTCGTCCGTTGTCCAGCGCGAGCTGAACTTGCTGCTGCCCTGGGGGGGAGCGGAGGGGGTTTTGGGGGATTTGGGGACACAACCGGGACCTGCTGTGACACCCTGGGGACAGCGTGGGGCAGTGGGGACACCACGGGGCACACGGGGATACCGTGGGGACACAGGGACCCCCTGGGGACAGCATGGGGCAGTGGGGACAGCGTGGGGCACATGGGGACACCGTGGGGACACAGGGACACCCTGGGGACAGCGTGGGGCAGTGGGGACAGCGTGGGGCAATGGGGACACCACGGGGCACACGGGGACACCCTGGGGACACCACGGGGCACACGGGGACACCCTGGGGACACAGGGACACCGTGGGGACACCGTGGGAACACCCTGGGGACACCCCAGGGACACTGTGGGGACATAGGGACATCCTGGGGACACAGAGACACCGTGGGGCAATGGGGACACCATGGGGCACACAGGGACACCGTGAGGACACCCTGGGGACACAGGGACATCCTGGGGACACCGTGGGAACACCCTGGGGACAGCGTGGGGCAATGGGGACACCGTGGGGCACACGAGGACACCATGGGGACAGCATGGGGGACATGGGGACACCATGGGGACACCGTGGGGACAGCCTGGGGACAGTGTGAGGCACACGGGGACACCATAGGGACACCGTGGGACACATGGGGACACCCTGGGAACACCATAGGGCACATGAGGACACCATGGGGACACCGTGGGGACATGGGGACACCGTGGGGCACACGAGGACACCATGGGGACACCGTGGGGACAGCCTGGGGACAGTGTGAGGCACATGGGGACAGCCCCGCCCCCAGCCCAGCCCCGCCCCTCCTCACCTCCTCCTCCTCCTCGGGGGGCTCCCCCCGGCCCTGCAGGAGCCGCTCGAGGCCCGGGCGGCGCCGGGGGCCCAGCACGAAGCTCCGGACCTGCGCCGCCGTCTTGTTCCCCAGCACGGCCGCCACCGCCGGGAAATCGCGGCCGTAGCGCCGCAGGGCTGGGGACGGACACGGTGAGGGGGGACACGCCGCTAACGAGGCTCGTTAATTAGGCTAACGAGGGGGGCACTCACCCTGCACCACCAGCAGCTGCTCGTCCGTTGTCCAGCGCGAGCTGAACTTGCTGCTGCCCTGGGGGGGAGCGGAGGGGGTTTTGGGGGATTTGGGGACACAACCGGGACCTGCTGTGACACCCTGGGGACAGCGTGGGGCACACGGGGACAGCGTGGGGCACACGGGGACACCCTGGGGACAGCGTGGGGACACCCTGGGGACACCCTGGGGACAGCGTGGGGCACACGGGGACAGCGTGGGGACACAGGGACACCCTGGGGACACAGGGACACCGTGGGACACAGGGACACCCTGGGGACAGCGTGGGGCAACGGGGACAGCACGGGGCACACGGGGACACCCTGGGCACATGGGGACACCATGGGGACACCATGGGGACACCCTGGGGACACCCCAGGGACACTGTGGGGACATAGGGACATCCTGGGGACACAGAGACACCGTGGGGCAATGGGGACACCATGGGGCACACAGGGACACCGTGAGGACACCCTGGGGACACAGGGACATCCTGGGGACACCGTGGGAACACCCTGGGGACAGCGTGGGGCAATGGGGACACCGTGGGGCACACGAGGACACCATGGGGACAGCATGGGGGACATGGGGACACCATGGGGACACCGTGGGGACAGCCTGGGGACAGTGTGAGGCACACGGGGACACCATAGGGACACCGTGGGACACATGGGGACACCCTGGGAACACCATAGGGCACATGAGGACACCATGGGGACACCGTGGGGACATGGGGACACCGTGGGGCGGGGACAGCATGGGGGACATGGGAACACCGCGGGGACAGCCTGGGGACAGTGTGAGGCACATGGGGACACCACAGGGACACTGTGGGGCACCCTGGGAACACCATAGGGCACATGAGGACACCCCGGGACAGCGTGGGGACACCGCGGGGACAGCGTGGGGACACCCTGGTGACACAGAGACCCACCTCAGGCGGCCGCAGCCCCTCCAGGCCCCCGTCCAGCGCCTGCCTGAGGCCGCTGTTGATCTGCTTGATGCGCTGCACCTGCGGCCATTGGGGAGGGGGCTCAGAGGGGGTGACCCCTCGCCCTGGGGGTGTCCCCCGGGGGGTGTGGGGGATGTGGGGGTGTCCCCGGGGGTCTCACCTGCCGTTTGAGGGCCACCAGCTGGCAGTCGAGCTGGCGCAGGGCGCGCGCGCCCAGGTCGGGGTTGGCCGTCACCTCGGCCACGTCCTGGCGGCTCAGGCGCATCCCGCGGGGGGGGCGGCGCCGCTGCCGCGCCGGGGGGTGGTGCCGGTACTGCGGGCCCGCCTTGGGGAAGCACGCCTGACAGCGGCGTTAATTAGCGCCCGCTCGTTAATTGGTTCGGTGGCCGTGAGTTGGTTGTGGTTGGGGGAAAACCCCCCCCTGAGCACCGGCACCTCACACCGCCCCCCCCCTACCCAGGGGGGGTCCGGGGTCCCTGCCTGTCGTCGCGGTCGCGCCGGCCCAGCAGGCGCCGCGCCTGGCGGTCCATGACGCTCGTGCGGCTCCGCGTTTTCTTCCAGGAGTAATAATACTTCACCAGGCTGGGGATCAGCTTGTCCGGGAGCTGGGGGGGCACACAGGGGGTTTGGGGGGGGGTTCGAGAGAGTTTTGGGGTGATTTGGTGTCAGGGATGGGGTGAGAGGTGAAGGGAGGGGTCACCCCAGTAAATCGCGGGGAGAAGGTGCGAGAAGAGCCCTGAAAAAAGAGGGGAGAACCCACAAAAATGGGGGGGAAACCCCTAAAAATGGAAGAGCAGGAACCTCTACGAATAGGAAGGGGGGAAATGACAGAGAAACCCTAAAGGGGGGAGTCGGGACCCCCAAAATCAGGGGGAACCCCCAGAAATGGGGGGGAGGTACCACCTGGTGGCTGGGGGGGGACAGCAGAGGGTGGGATGTACCATCTCCTGTGGGGGGGTAAGGGGGTCGCACCCCCTCATTCCCAAGTGGGTCCCGAGACCCCCCAGACCCCCCAAACCTCCCTGGGGGTCCCAGGGGAGCAAGACCACCTTCCAAAACCCCCCAAAAACAGCCCAAAAAAAGCCCTGGATCCAAGCAGCCCGAGGGAGGGGGAGCTGATCCCCGGTGCTCTCGTTCTGTGGGGGAGCTGACCCGGGGGGGTTTTGGGGCAGGTTTTGGGGGGTCTCACCATCTGCTGGATGCGGGCGAAGCTCTTGCCGTGGAAGCTGAAGGCCTGCTCGAACAGAACCTTGTCCTCCACCGTCCACTCGTCCGGGAAGGGCGTGAAGTTGGCCAGGTCGGCCAAGGACTTCTCCACGTCGTGTTTGTGCCACAGCAGCATGCCCAGCGCCTGGGGAGGGGTCGGCGGGGCATTTGGGGGGCACCCCGGGGGGGTCGGCGGGGCATTTGGGGGCTGGCGTGGGGCAGCTGTGGGGCTGGGGTCTGTCCTTCAGTGGGGTCTGGGGTCTGTCCCCCTGTGGGGTCTGGGGTCTGTCCCTCTGTGGGGCAGCTGTGGCAGTGGGGTCTGTCCTTGTTTGGGGTCTGGGGTCTGTGCCCACACGGATCCAGGCTCTGTCCTTCTGTGGGGCTGAGATTCTGTCCCCATGTGGGGTCTGGGGTCTGTCCCTCCGTGGGTCTGGGGTCTGTCCCCCTGTGGGGCTGGGGGGCTCACGGGGATCCCCACCTCCATCACACTCTGTGGGGCTGCCCCACATCCCCCCTCGCCCCCTTCCCTCTGGGGGTGCCCCCCTGGGTCCTGTGGGGCGACCCCCGTTGCGGGAGGGCTGGGGCTGGATCAGAGCTGTGGGGCCGGGCTGTGGGGCAGGGTTATGGGGTGGGCTGAGGGCTGTGGGGCAGGGTTATGGGGTGGGCTCAGGGCTGTGGGGCAAACTGGAGTTTGTCAGTCCATACCGGGTCTGTGGTGCCGGTCTGGGGCCATACCGAATTCTGTGGGGCCGTACCGAGCTCTCTGGTGCCGGTTTGGGGCCGTACCGAACTCCCCGGCTCCCCCGCTCCCACAATGGCGGCCCCTCTCCCCTCAGCGCGCTGGGCGTGGCCTCCCGCGCTCCCGCCCTTTCCGCTCTCAGCCAATCAGCGCCGAGCCGCCTTCGCGCCCCTCGCCGCCGCCACGCGCCCGCTCCCCCCGCCCTTCCCGCTCCACTTTCGCGCACGCGCGGGTGCCCCGCCCGCGCCCCCGCCCCTAGCGCCCCGCCCCTTTCCCCTCCGCGCCGGCGCATTGGCCGCCGGCCGCGGGCTCGCGCGCTTGGCGCTCCGCCCCTTTCCCCCCCCCCTTATAAAAAGCGCGCCCCCCGCGCGCGCCCCTTGTGGGGCTGGGGGCGTCAGGGGAGCTGGGGTCGGACCTTTGTGGGGCTGGGGGCGTCAGGGGAGCTGGGGTCGGACCTTTGTGGGGCTGGGGGCGTCAGGGGAGCTGGGGTCGGACCTTTGTGGGGCTGGGGGCGTCAGGGGAGCTGGGGTCGGACCTTTGTGGGGCTGGGGGCGTCAGGGGAGCTGGGGTCGGACCTTTGTGGGGCTGGGGGCGTCAGGGGAGCTGGGGTCGGACCTTTGTGGGGCTGGGGGCGTCAGGGGAGCTGGGGTCGGACCTTTGTGGGGCTGGGGGCGTCAGGGGAGCTGGGGTCGGACCTTTGTGGGGCTGGGGGCGTCAGGGGAGCTGGGGTCGGACCTTTGTGGGGCTGGGGGCGTCAGGGGAGCTGGGGTCGGACCTTTGTGGGGCTGGGGGCGTCAGGGGAGCTGGGGTCGGACCTTTGTGGGGCTGGGGGCGTCAGGGGAGCTGGGGTCGGACCTTTGTGGGGCTGGGGGCGTCAGGGGAGCTGGGGTCGGACCTTTGTGGGGCTGGGGGCGTCAGGGGAGCTGGGGTCGGACCTTTGTGGGGCTGGGGGCGTCAGGGGAGCTGGGGTCGGACCTTTGTGGGGCTGGGGGCGTCAGGGGAGCTGGGGTCGGACCTTTGTGGGGCTGGGGGCGTCAGGGGAGCTGGGGTCGGACCTTTGTGGGGCTGGGGGCGTCAGGGGAGCTGGGGTCGGACCTTTGTGGGGCTGGGGGCGTCAGGGGAGCTGGGGTCGGACCTTTGTGGGGCTGGGGGCGTCAGGGGAGCTGGGGTCGGACCTTTGTGGGGCTGGGGGCGTCAGGGGAGCTGGGGTCGGACCTTTGTGGGGCTGGGGGCGTCAGGGGAGCTGGGGTCGGACCTTTGTGGGGCTGGGGGCGTCAGGGGAGCTGGGGTCGGACCTTTGTGGGGCTGGGGGCGTCAGGGGAGCTGGGGTCGGACCTTTGTGGGGCTGGGGGCGTCAGGGGAGCTGGGGTCGGACCTTTGTGGGGCTGGGGGCGTCAGGGGAGCTGGGGTCGGACCTTTGTGGGGCTGGGGGCGTCAGGGGGGGCTGGTGTGGGGCAGCTGTGGGGCTGGGGTCTGTCCTTCAGTGGGGTCTGGGGTCTGTCCCCCTGTGGGGTCTGGGGTCTGTCCCTCTGTGGGGCAGCTGTGGCAGTGGGGTCTGTCCTTGTTTGGGGTCTGGGGTCTGTGCCCACACGGATCCAGGCTCTGTCCTTCTGTGGGGCTGAGATTCTGTCCCCATGTGGGGTCTGGGGTCTGTCCCTCCGTGGGTCTGGGGTCTGTCCCCCTGTGGGGCTGGGGGGCTCACGGGGATCCCCACCTCCATCACACTCTGTGGGGCTGCCCCACATCCCCCCTCGCCCCCTTCCCTCTGGGGGTGCCCCCCTGGGTCCTGTGGGGCGACCCCCGTTGCGGGAGGGCTGGGGCTGGATCAGAGCTGTGGGGCCGGGCTGTGGGGCAGGGTTATGGGGTGGGCTGAGGGCTGTGGGGCAGGGCTGTGGGGCAGGGTTATGGGGCTGAGGGCTGTGGGGCAGGGCTGTGGGGCACGGTTATGGGGTGGGCTCAGGGCTGTGGGGCAAACTGGAGTTTGTCAGTCCATACCGGGTCTGTGGTGCCGGTCTGGGGCCATACCGAATTCTGTGGGGCCGTACCGAGCTCTCTGGTGCCGGTTTGGGGCCGTACCGAACTCCCCGGCTCCCCCGCTCCCACAATGGCGGCCCCTCTCCCCTCAGCGCGCTGGGCGTGGCCTCCCGCGCTCCCGCCCTTTCCGCTCTCAGCCAATCAGCGCCGAGCCGCCTTCGCGCCCCTCGCCGCCGCCACGCGCCCGCTCCCCCCGCCCTTCCCGCTCCACTTTCGCGCACGCGCGGGTGCCCCGCCCGCGCCCCCGCCCCTAGCGCCCCGCCCCTTTCCCCTCCGCGCCGGCGCATTGGCCGCCGGCCGCGGGCTCGCGCGCTTGGCGCTCCGCCCCTTTCCCCCCCCCCTTATAAAAAGCGCGCCCCCCGCGCGCGCCCC